CTCGACCGAGAGTGGCCGCTGGTCCGTGGCCGTGCCCGAGGGGGAGGCAGCGATGATCAGTGTTATCGAGCCCACGCCACGCAGGGTTCCGCACGCATGGCCGTGGACGTTGGGACACGTGACGTGGAACCGTGTGCCGGAGGGCGACGCGACGTGAAGCGTGTACTTACATGATGCGAACATACGTGACATTGACGGGAGGGAGGAGCTGTGGGAACTGTGCGCCGTCGGGAGAAAATAAAGGACACATGTTCCGTCAGCGTTCGGAGAGCGTGGCCTCAGAGCCGCGTGGCTCACCAGGACGCCCCAGGTGACCCAGAACTCGGCTGCGTTGGTCACAGCCTTGCACCGTCTGCAGGTATTTGCTGGGACCATCCCACGGGAAAATGGAATGATTTGGGGGCCTTAGCCTGCTTGCTTTTCTAAAGAAAAAATTACCGAATGTGTTGGGGGGACGTGGGGCGATAAAGCTGTGTCGGTTTCATTCATTCGTCAACGGGGTCCGTACGACAGCGTGAAGACCGAAGCCGGGGCGATGAAGGAGCCGGCCGGGAAGCGGACCGGGGACCCCCCCGATGGCCGGGTCCAGGGAGGAGGGGGGGAGCGGAAATGGGGCCCACGTCTCGCCGGCGTCCGTGTAAGAGGGTTCCGTGTAACACGCGTGCATCCCGGTGAAGGTTCGTCCAGCCCTGTTGTCACGGTAACTCGCCGGGCGTTCAAATAAAGTCCCCCGTGGCCACGAAGGACGCAGTGGTCCGTGCTCTCCTTTCTCCACGCGACTCGGTTCGGCACGCGTGTGGCGTGTGCGCTGCACGCAAGATCCAGCTCAGGGGATGCTTACGGAGTCCCCCAGGCAGGCGTGTCGTACGCACGGGCGGACACGGGCCAGATACACAGGGTTGACGTGGACGTGGCCGCCAACAAACCAAAAGCTCCCGTTTTCACAGAAACGTAGGTTGGTTGGCGATGGAGACGTGCTGCATGCAAAGGGCTGAAATAAAATAATAGAACGTTTTAATAGAAATTAATGTTTTTTTCTTGAACATTCACTTACCAGACACCAAATAAAGGCATAAATGAATACACGTCATGCAAATAAACCTGTTTTTCTCATTCTCCGAAAGCGAGATATTTCCTGTTGTGCACACTTTAGCAGGTCAGTCCGAGACGAAGGGCACCGGCTGCTAGAACGTTTGCTGCCGGTATCAGTGCAGGGAGATGGTGCACCTGTGCCTACAGCACGTGAGGGACATGAATGCAACACGATGAGAGTCATCGGTCATTAGCGAACGTCCTAGTTCGTGGTTAATAATGACATATAACCGGATAGTGTAGAAATTAAGTGGCGAAATTTTTATTAACACGTTTTTTT